AGAGAGAGAGAGAGAGAGTAGAGAATTTTGGTATTAAATAGATTTCGTATTTATTTAGCATTATATTTTATTGAAACGCTCCAAATGCCTGTGCACGTGACAACTGAAACTGCCTTCTAAGTTCTAATTGTGTCATCAGCGTATCTCGATTTTCCGGCCGTGTTTTAGTTTTGACATTCCCAACACAGTCCTGGTCAATATAATGAAATTGTAATTCATTTTAACATTAATTCGTAAAAATGATGATTATATATAATTATATTTGATATATTTACTATCATATCATTTTATTTACTTTTCAAATGTTTATTCTATAAATATGTTATTTATTATGTTTGTCACTATTGTCATGATCTGTTTATCTTACTACACATTTACTTCCTACGTCATTATTACCTAATTAATATTTAATATGAATAATATAATAATAAATAATATTAATAATTACTATTTCTGCACATAGGTGGCGCGAGTGAAGGAGGACTACGCCGTCGTGAAGCCGCCGGTGTCGTCGGGGGCGACGGCGGCGTCGACGCGACCAGTGCGCGTGCACAAGCGTCGCCGCACCCTCTACGACGAAGAATACGGGGAGCAACCAACCTCCTCCTACCAGGCGCAGCAGAAGCGCGGCAAGAAGAGGAAGAAGAAGGAGGAGGCAGCCGCGGCGGCGGCGGTGGCTGCGGCGGCGGCGGCTGCTGCGGCGGCGGCGGCGGGGAAGGAGGAGGTGAAGGAGGAAGAGCCACCCGTGTTGAAACCTGTGAAGAAGTCGAAGAAACACAAGCAGGTGAGTGTGTGTGCGCGTACGTGCAGACATGCACACACACGCACACACATGCACACATGTACATGCACGCACGCACGCACATGCACACATGTACATGCACGCACGCACGCACATGCACACACATGTACGCACGCACACATGTCATGTACATGTACGCACACACACACATGTACATGTACATGCACGCACGCACGCACACACACACATGTACGCACGCACACACACATGTACATGTACGCACGCACACACACATGTACATGTACGCACGCACACACACACATGCACGCACACACATGTACATGTACGCACGCACGCACACACACGCACACACACACATGTACATGTACGCACGCACACACATGCACACACACACATGTACATGTACGCACG